CACCGGGTCAATACGGGTCCCACCATGTTGACTGGGATGAAAAATGAGTTTCGAGCTGTTTCAGGTCAAAACCGTCATTTTCGGTCAAAACTGAGTCCACCGGGTTAATACGGGTCCCACCATGTCGACCTGGATGAAAAATGAGTTTCGGGCTGTTTCGAGTCAAAACTGTCATTTTTGGTCAAAACCGAGTCCATCGGGTCAATATGGGTTCCACCATGTTGATCGAGATAAAAAATGAGTTTCAGGTTATTTTTGGTCAAAACTATTATTTTTGGTCAAAAAACCTAGTCCACCGAGTTGATACTCATATAAAGGTTTTTTTCGGCAATTAAAATTGATTTTTAGCGGATGAAAAACATTTTCTAATACTGATTTGAGTTTTTAATTTTACCCCTATAAATAAATATTATTATTATATATAATAAAACAAAAAAAATAATATAATTTTATCACAATAGGCGGAGGATTTTTGCCGATGGTAGGTGGTACAATTGTATTTTGAAAATTTTACACAATTCGTGATTTTATGTCCCCTCTTCATTTGCTATAAATAGCCAATGAAACTAAGCTAGAAGAGGAGAGAAAAAAGAAAAGAAAAGAAGAGAAATCCGAATCCGAAAGCTTACTATTTGTGTTACTATTTGACATTTTTGTTTTATTTTCTACTTTTTCTTCACGCGAGTAAGATATTGATTTTTTTTTAAAACAATTTGATAAATACCTAAAATATTCTAATCGTTAGATCTAATAGTGTTTAAATTTGGGCTTTTGAATTTTTAGGATACAATAGGCTTTACCACACCAGATTAAAACCCAAATCCATCGCAGCCTTTAAAATAATCTTCCCTTTGATCCTGTTGCGCCACGTCATCAGGTATACAAACTCTCGGTACACCATGCCACACCGAAACAAAGCTCAGACCATCCAGACTGTCCGATCAACTTCCAGATCAAGCCAATCGTAGCCGTACGATTAGACGGTTCACAGCCTTCAGACGCACCGGTAAACCATGCTCGCATTCACACCATAGCAAATCTCTGAGCCTCTCTTTCCTCTCGCTGGCGATTCTCTCTCTCTCATCGGATCTTCCATTTCCGGTCATTTTAAGCCACCAAACCACCGAATCTGGCCGGAAAAAGGCTGCGACTGTCATCAGCCAACTGAGGCTTCAAATCGACGATTCTCCCTCATCAGTCATCAACGAAAGACGAAACCACCGTCATTAGAATCCTCTCCCTCAGATTTACCAGAATCAACCATCTTGTGGTCGAAATCTCGTAGGAAAATTTCGCCACCTCCAACAGTAGTCGCGCGTGAGGCACACTATTCCAAGAAATCTGAGCGTATTTCAGTCTTTTACCTATACAGTGACATTCATGTAATTTTTTATGATTTTTATGGTATTTTTGATATTTTTATATATAAAT